TATATATCGAGGGATAATCTTCCTCTCGAGAGTCTGTGAGAGAAATAACCCATCCACTACTCGATCCGTTTTAAAATAGCATACGAGTGCTTGTGGCATGCTCTGTGCTTTGTGCTGTTGGCACGTGGTTTGCCTAATGATCTTGCACATGCAACAGTAGGTATTTCTGACCCCTAAGGACAACACGTTTCTCATTCACACACTTATAGCCAACTCAAGATTACTTACTGCACATGAATCCATATCCATATTTCCTTCTTAGTACTTGCCTATCATCCTCTCACTATTTTGCGCCCCTCCTGGCAAATTGTCCACTATCGGTATCCCGAATTCACTGATGACTCATCAGCCGACGGACAGATATGCAGAGAATGCCCCGCCGGTTTCTATAGCGACACGGACTCAGTGGACCAGCCCTGCATGCCCTGCGTCATCAACAACATGCAGGAGAAAACGGGACAAACCGGTACGTGTTGTGTGCAGGCGGTCGGGCTGGACATGCACGGTGTGGTACAGATAATGCACGCACCCACACTCTACGTTGAAGTATACGGTGGTCATCAACTAGAGACTCATGTGTATATACACACCACACATGCGCGTATGCAAGATGGATAAACATATAGGGTGCATACATGCATAGCGTTCCTTATGCGCCCTCTATTGTGTTTGTTTGTGTGATTTGTGTGATAGTCTCCCGCTGTTTTCGTAAATTGCGTGTGCATCACAAACGGGCACGGATAGGATACGTGACTTAGGCCGGTGTCGACTATACAATTGTCCTAAAACATGAGAAAAAGGACACCCAGTGCCACTGAGCTGTCGGTCAATGGCAAGCAAATATCTTACCCCAAATATATAACAAGAACTAAACAACACACCTATGAATGCGTTGTATAGGCAGTACAGCAAGCACTCTGACAAGTGACGGGCATTGGTCTTATTGACATTTGTTTTGTTCTGCAGAATGTGTCCCGTGCGGATGGGGCAAATACACTGAGGAGATCGGTATGTGCTACGTGTGTGATGGCAGGCATGATTGTATGGTTTGATGTGGGGTTGTTTGATTGTATGTATGGTTGGATGTGTGGTTATATGGATGATTGTATGAATGGTCAGATTGTTATGAATTTATGAAGAATTATCATATAAATGATTCTATTGTGGTATGGATATTTGTTTGATGATATGCTTGATCGTATAATTTCATAGATGTGTGTGTGGGATTGTTCTCTATTTATGGATAGAATTTTCAATGCCTCACTGTATGTACTGTTGTTTACTCAAAATAGCTATTAAACTATCTGTATACATATCGGCCATGAGTTGGTGAGTCACAGGTCCGTTGTCTCGGTTAAACAGGGCAAAGGACTTTCAAAATTAAATGAGATGTCCTCAATTATCAGCACTTTACCATTGTGCACAGAACAATATCAAGAGCCATTGAAACTAGTAAAACCCCAATTTGCTATTTGCTATCCTCGATAGTTCACAAGCCTTTATATTTGTCCACTAGGACCAGTTGTATGTCAGAGGGGTTATGTGTAGAGATATCCTCGATAGTTCACATCCTCTTTCAACTACCGTGTCCGATATTTGTCCACTAGGACCAGTTGTATGTCAGAGGGGTTATGTGTAGAGATATGCTCAATAGTTCACATCCCCTTTCAACTACCGTGTCCCATATTTGTCCACTAGGACCAGTTGTATGTCAGAGGGGTCATGTGTAGAGATATCCTCAATAGTTCACACTCCTTTCAACT